TACTACAATCGTTGGATCTGTGCTTTTCACGGTGAGTTTAGTTTAAACTCAATGGCTTGTGTTATGGACATTTTTGGTATATGTATTGCTTTGTTTGAATTTGCCATATTTTTTTAGATATGATAAGTTGAATCTGAAATATGAACACTGTGCTCACCCCACCATTTAGTACTGCTGTAACCTGTAATCATGCTGTCATCTTTCTGCATTTTTTTCTTCTATTTTGCTGACTATATTTTTATTTGGTAGATATTTGGTGGTGTCGGAATTGCCTGCCTTCCATTGGGACTTATATTCTCATTTATCCGGCGTCCAAAAGCTGTAATTACACGCTCACAATATATAAAGGTGGGCCTACATTCTCATGTACACCATTTTGATCATAAAGGATGCTTGCCTCACTTGTGATCAATCTTTCTGTTGCTAGTAATTATTTGTATATCAATGCTTCCTTGAGGTTAAACATGTGCCCTGCAGGAAGCAACTGAATTGGGAAAGAAGGCAAGGGAGTTGAAAAAAGCGGCTGAAGCTCTTCACCAAGAAGAAAGAAGTGGGAACAAGGGCCGGAAATGGCGCAAAAACGTGAAGGCTTTAGAAAAGGTACACATTTTTATTAAAATTGCTCTTTCCAGGCATTGGAAATGTTTAGCTATTACTTCCACAAAAACAACCACGACCATATTTAGCCTTTTACATGTGGTGTTATAAAGTAACCCCAAGATATTAGTTAATGGCATATGTCCTTTACAGATGTCGGCATGCTACTTCAAATATGTACGTACCTAGCTATATATTTAGTGTAATGGTAACAACTTAGGTTCTTGAGGGTCTCTGCCTCCCTTTTAGCTACTGGGAACTCTGCAGTTTGCAATACTTAGTCTCATGTCTGTCAATGATCAGAATAAAGAAGATATCAATTTCAAATATTTGGTTTAAAGAAAAGTTCAAAGTATTTTAACATGTATTTATAGAAGTCATCGCATTTTGGAGTTTTGGTGGTTAACAAGTTCTCTAGTTGAGTTGGTATCCATGTGCATGCCACATGATGTTGTTCATATGGTACTTGGTCCTTGATTATTGTAGTGTAGACCTTTTTCCCAACGTTCCTGTCATACCTTTTTGTGTATTGTAGTGACACTAACTGCTAAGTTCAATCTTTCAAATATCAGGAGTTATTACTTCTGGAAGATGACATGAAGGCTCTAGAAGAGATGTATCCTCAAGGAGAACAGGTTATCCAACGTAAATTATCATGTCATACGCTTTTTTATGTTTAAGATTCCCTCCTTGACACCTGTTATGGCACAGGCTGAGGCTACTTGGGCATTCACAGTCCTTGGGTACATTGGAAAACTTATATTTGGTGTTGTTGGGTGAGTGCAAAACTTTTGTCCTGTACTTCTTGTCCTGTATCTTAATCAAGTGCACTTTCCAAAGTGATCTCTTTATAACGTTGTTGTGCTTGCAGGTTAATTGTTTCAATAGCTTGGGTTGCACATATCGTCATATACTTGTTGATTGATCCTCCTCTATCTTCTTTCCTGAATGAAGTCTTCATAAAGTTGGATGGTGTTTGGGGTATCTTCTGATCTTCCATTCTTGTCAACTTATGCTGCTGATTAGAACAATCCAATTCATCTTCTGATTTATGTACCAGGTCTCCTTGGGACTGCTGCTTTCGCGTTCTTCTGCTTCTATCTCCTTATTGCAGTGATTGCTGGGGAGATGATGCTTGGTTTGAAACTTGTTTTCATCACAATTCACCCGATGAAGTAACCAGCTCATACCTTGGCATACTATTTTTTTTCTGCAGTTTTACTTATTATAAATCTCATCAACAAACCAATCAATTTGTTTCAGATGGGGAGGCACTTTAATGAACTCCTTCCTGTTTAATGTTGGGCTCATACTACTTTGCTCCATCAGGTAAGCCATCAATGTTTTCCTTACATGTTACGTTGTAACATATTATGAATTGTCGAAGGGTTTAAATTTCATTTTCACTTAAATTTCTGCAGCATGATTTGTATCTTTTCCACAACGGTTGAAACCGAATTTCATTACAAAACATGCAAGATCTGTATCTGAAATTGTTTTTAAGCTTTCATTTTGCAAGACAATCGTAGTCAGTTAGAATGATCATATTGGCATGTTCCTCAATCTACCATGGTGAATGGAACTAGAATTGTTTTTCTTATGTTGCATGCACTGAAGATGAAAATGACTTCTGTATGAGCATGAGTTTTGTTGATTTACTAGGTTTAAAGAAATGTCATAACCCTTCCATGAGTATTGACTGCCTATTTTTGTTGACTTTGTATTTCGTGATTTAAAACCCCTCTTAATCTAATTATCATAATTTTCCTGCTATTCTACGTGCAGTGTGATTCAGTTCTGTGCCACGGCTTTTGCCTACTATGCACAAGCAACTGCTGCTCAAGAGATATTTGGCCACACATTGCAATCCCTTCGTGGAATTAAGTATCTTTACAAGTGAGTCTCAAATGAAGAGTGAAATTAGTTGCTTTGTTTACAGGTGTTGCAGACATTTAAAACTTGAATGTATTTTGATACTTGAACCACAAAATATGCAGGTACAATGTTTTCCAGTATGGCTTTGTTGCTCTTGCCATCCTCACACTCTTCTACTATGCTATATTTGTAAGTCCTTTTCATCAAGTGCTTAGTCAATAGTCATTTACATTAATAACTATAAAAGAAATAAGGTTTGACTGTATGTTATTATCAATACTTGTTAGGGATGGAGAAAGAGGAAACCAACAGGAAGGTTCCAGCTCTCAAATTGATTTGCTCTGTAAGTGAAGCTTGACGGATTCATCATATTTGCCCCCAGAGTGATAGTTCAGTTAGCGTCTTAGGGATGTATATGATCAACCAAACGAAACCAAATCATCTTGAGTTGAGGAACTGCAAACGGTGTAAATTATCAACTATGAGACCTCGAAGGCGAGAATGGGGAAACTGTTGGTTACCACGGACATGGATGTTGAAGTAGAACCCAGTTGACTTTGCAGTGTACACATTTCTCGTATCGGCTCTTCATTTACGTCTGTATTATTGCTTTATGATTGGCTGGTGATGTTATTCGTGAGAGATGTTTGGTGTGTTTGGGGGCGCTTTGCCCCCGTTGATATTCATTTCTTGGCTGTGTCCGGAGTTAGATCAGTTCATTGCTTTTATATGTATTATATACTGTGATTACAACACAAGGTTCTAGGTTGTATTAATGATTTCTTGATCATCCTTGTGTCTGTCTGTGATCCCTGCTTGCGTGTCAACTATGAGCTTATCCATTGTTGGCTGTTGCCACTGCCAAACAAGGCTGTTTATCAGTTCTATTGTGAAGCCTGCTATTGCGAAGAATTGCCCGCGTTTGTCTCTTGCTAGTGCCACTCGTTGATATGGATGTCTCATCTATAAAGCCTTGAATGCGCAAAGTTTTTTTTTCTTTTTATAATAACTTGTTATGTGTATTATATGGGGGATATAGTGTTATTATATGTTGGAAGCAGCGTTACAAAATTATCTGCAAAGGAGATGGTTAAGAGAAAGATCTTTGCCAATTTCTACTTTTAGGGAAGAGCCAAATATACCACCCCTACAGACACTATTGTTTCAGCTTGTTCGGCTGATCCGGAATCAGCTTGTTCGGCTGATCTAGAATCAGCTTGTTTTAACTTATTCTTCTTTACATAACACTATTGAATCAGCCGAAATCAGTTAAAAACTGATCAGCCGAACGAGCTGTTAAGGGTCAAACATACACTATCAAATTTTCTATACGGAAGGGCTAAATATACACAAATTTTACTGATAGGGTATAGGGTATACAACTACTAGCAAACTTGTACTGATAGGGAAGGACCAAATATACAACCACTAGGTACAATGGTACAAAGTGTACAGATGTAGCAAACTTGATTGTAGAAAAAATGGTACAAAGTGTAGCAAACTTGATTGTAGAAAAAAGAGTTAAATGCACCAGAGATTCATTAACTTATGAGGAGGTTTCAGTTAGATCAAAATAGTTTTTTTGGTCCATAAACTTTGTACGTCGTATCACTTAGGTCCGTACCTCTCCACATTGGCTTCTCATGCTAATGTGGCATGATGAGTAGGCTCAATGCAACAGTGATTACCCTCCGTATGCAGCTCTCATGTCCATGAGGTTCCCCTGGACCAGTCGATGCCCAGGCCGTTGAGGTAGGACCCGTCGACGACGCGCCACCAGTGGTCGTAGTCCACCGTGAAGTCCTCCGGCGCCGGCTTCCCGTACACCCCGGCCTGCGAGCCGTTGAGCCAGTACGGCGGCGTCCGCACCCGCCGCGGCCACTCCGAGGGCCACCGCGCGCCGCGCTCCGACGGGCCCGTCGGCACGCGGTGCACGCACGAGTTGAGCCGGATGTACCACGCCGCGTTCGCGTCATCGTCGTCGGCGCACATCGGCGGCTGCTGCCGCTTCCTGGCATCGTAGCACTCGTTCGTCGTCGGTCTTCGGAGATGCCGACGGCGGCGATGGCGACAAGCCGGCCGTGTCGGAGTCGGAGTACACGGGGGGCGCGGACGGAAATGCCAGTCAGGACGACGGCCTCGGCGTCGAGGACTTGCTCGTCGCCGAAGACCGCGCGGAGGAGCAGAAGGCGTGGGCGACGCAGGCCGACGAGTCACACTGGAAACGGACCGCCGCGAGGAAGGCGGCGAGAACGACGGCAACGGCGCGGAGAACGGCGGCGGCGAGGAGCACGAGTGGCGGGTGTGCAATGTGAAGGCCGGCGCCGACTACATCCCGTGCCTGGACAACGAGAAGGCCATCAAGAAGCTGCGGCCGGAGAACTTCCGGCGGTACGAGCACCGGGAGCGGCGGCACTGCCCCGACGAGGGCCCGACGTGCCTCGTCGCGCTCCCCACCGGCTACCGCCGCCCCATCGAGTGGCCCAAGAGCCGAGACAGGGTACGTCCGTCCGCGTCTCTGAATCTCCATGCGGCAATGCATTGCTGACTCGTGGCCGTTCGTCGTGCCGGCGGCGACGTACGTGCAGGTATGGTACAGCAATGTCCCGCACACGAAGCTGGTGGAGGTGAAGGGCCACCAGAACTGGGTGAAGGTGAGCGGACAGTACCTGACCTTCCCCTGCGGCGGCACGCAGTTCATCCATGGCGCGCTGCACTACATCGACTTCCTGCAGCAGGTACCATGCATCACCAATGGCCAATGACCAGGCCATGGTTTGTTTGTTTGTTTCGATCGCTCCGGTAGAAAGTGTATGTAGAGTAAGGAGGTTACTCTGCGTTGTCTGGCCAGTCCGTCCGCGCCGTCGCGTGGGGGAAGCACACGCGGGTGGTGCTCGACGTCGGCTGTGGCGTGGCCAGCTTCGGCGGCTACCTGTTCGAGCGCGACGTGGTGACCATGTCGTTCGCGCCCAAGGACGAGCACGAGGCGCAGGTGCAGATGGCGCTCGAGCGCGGGATCCCGGCCATCTCCGCCGTCATGGGATCCAAACGCCTGCCTTTCCCCAGCAAGTCGTTCGACCTTGTCCACTGCGCGCGGTGCCGCGTCCCATGGCACGCCGACGGTGCGCCGCGCCGCCTCCCCCATTCCACTTTGCGTCCTCCTTGTCCGAGATCCCTTGCTGACGATGCCGAGATTGCCGTGTCCCCGTGTAGGTGGCGCTCTCCTCCTGGAGCTGAACCGCGTCCTGCGCCCCGGAGGTTTCTTCGTCTGGTCCGCCACGCCGGTGTACCAGAAGCTGACGGAGGACGTCGAGATCTGGAAAGGCACGTAAAGTTCCGACCACTCGCCGCGATGCCATGCCATGGCCATGGCCATGAACCGATCGAACAGAGCCAGCTGTCGGGGTGGCCTTCTACCGGAAGCCGACGACGAACGAGTGCTACGATGCCAGGAAGCGGCAGCAGCCGCCGATGTGCGCCGACGACGACGACGCGAACGCGGCGTGATACATCCGGCTCAACTCGTGCGTGCACCGCGTGCCGATGGGCCCGTCGGAGCGCGGCGCGCGGTGGCTCTCGGAGTGGCCGCGGCGGGTGCGGACGCCGCCGTACTGGCTCAACGGCTCGCAGGCCGGGGTGTACGGGAAGCCGGCGCCGGAGGACTTCACGGTGGACTACGACCACTGGTGGCGCGTCGTCGACGGGTCCTACCTCAACGGCCTGGGCATCGACTGGTCCAGGGTCAGGAACCTCATGGACATGAGAGCTGCATACGGAGGGTAATCACTGTTGCATTGAGCCTGGTCATCGTGCCACGTCAGCATGAGAAGCCAACGTGAAGAGTTATGAACCTAAGTTATACGGGCGCACAAAGTTTATGGACCCAAAAACCATTTTAAAAGTTGATGGACCTAATCTGAAACATCATCACAAGTTAATGGATCTCTGATGCATTTAACTCTAGAAAAAGAGCACAGATGTAGCAAACTTGATTGTAGGGAAAAATCAAACAAGCAAGGTCTTACTAAACATATTTCAAACAAACATATAGCATGATGCATTAGCTCCTGAGCAATGTGACTGCATGATGTAAGGAAAGAATGACTCTTTTCTCAATGCATGAATAGCGTGAAGAATTATGGACCAAAACTTCAATTGAACCAACTGCCTGGCACCGGCAAGGACCATGCAGAATGTTATAGTTTCCGAGCAAGCTGTTAACAATGCAACTAGCATGAACAAAATGTCGGGCGTGAGGCAGTAGTATATGTACTAACAATGGAAGGAATATGCACGTGCTTCTACTATCTTGACTCATCACGAAGTAGTGATGAAGTTCAGGTAAACATAACAAATCATAAATCACTGAGACAAGCAATTAAGTTCATATGAGTAACTACTGCCTTGAAAAAAATACTCCCAAAGCATCTCTTGCTCCTACTCTAATAGTAATAGCCCACATGGAGGCAGCCCTTTCAAGGGAGTAAGAGAATGTCAGGAACAGGCTATACACAAATAATTTTTACAACCACATCCTATTTTTTTTTCTAGGGCAGTGGCGGAGCTGGTGAAAATCCACACCTAGAGCCACTAAGCGCCTAAGCAATTCATAATGGGCTCTACTGATAGTTCACATAAGCAATGGATAAAATAATAATTTAGAATATATGTTAATTCACATAAGCAACGGATAAAATAATAATTTAGAATATATGTCAATTGCACGCACAAATGTACAGTAACATGATAAAATGAATTTCAATGTCTTGGTCCTCTTCATTGTGTAATTAATTCTAGTAAAACACTACAAATTGATGGGAAATATTAAATTAGCTAAGTATCCTTGCAATTGGAATTGTGCCTGAAGTTCTGAATAGGTAATCCTAGTTCAAGAACCCTCAAAACCGCTAGTATATATCTATATACCTAATAATAAAGAGGCAAAATTTCTCTCCCCCTATTTCTTAGTCCGGTCATCCTTAACTAACTTTGTGAATGTGCAAACTGTCTCTGTTACGTGTCTACAACCCTCCTAATTTATGACATATATGTCGAGACTTGCTAATCCTAATCCTAATCCTAATAGATTATTCTGACCCTAATAAGTACTTGAATAGGAATCATAATCCAATCCAAATATACAAACAGATCTATTTATAATCTATATGTCTAATAATATATTAAAGAGCAAAAAAAATTTAACAACCATGACACAAGTTGGTTTCCTATACATGTATCTCTGATTGCAATCGCACTTTCAACAAAAAAAAATGTAACCTTGCGGATCCGATGAGACCGGCCGGCCGGGTGCCCAGGTCATGTACGAACAAGTACTAGCAGCGACGGAAACAAATTCACGTACAACAAAAACTCATGATCAACCTATGCATCATTATCATATGCATCGTCGAGATCACGAATGGCCGCTGCTGAGGTGATGGTGGATCCAAGGCGGAGGACAAGGAGATGACCCTCCCGGGCGTCGCGTTCCCATTCCATCACGTCATGGGTACATGGTCTTCTCCCTCATCGAGGATCGCATGCGCGACGATCGCATGCGCGACGGCGTCTAGCTGCGCCCGATCACAGGATGCCACGTCGTGCCATCCCCGTATGGCGGGGAGGTGCTTGCCATGACCATGTCGTCTTTCAGGCACCCGTCCCGCCTCGTTGACCCGTTCACCAACGAGAGTCTGCGCCACTCCGGGACCTGGCCGTCCAACACTGGTACAAGGAGGAGCCACTATCAGTGTGCGAGCGCAAGTTGCCGTGCATGCAGGGACGCTGCCGCACGGGGCCGCCCACCGTAGACGGCTTCGCGTGGGACCCATCCATGTGCGGCGCCATGATCGCACGGGGCGATACAGTGTTTTTTTTTGTGAGGGCGGTGGCGAGTGGATGAGACTGTACCGGTCGACAACCACATCGGGCAAAAAGTAAAATTGTCCGAAACCAAAACCAAAACTAAAACCAATTTCAAGTCATAGAAGATTAATAAATTTCCAAACAACGCATATCACGTCTAGACAAAACAAGAATCCGGAGTCCGGATCTATCACAGTGGATACATCGGTATATTAGGACAAGAATATAAAGAAAGCATGCTTAAACATCAGTTAAACGTTTTGTTTTATCACCCACGTCATCGGGCACTACTACAGAAGTTAACTGTAGGAGCGGCTCTAGAGCCTCTGTAGGGGCGGCTGCGCCAGCCGCCCTTCCCAGGGTGTTCCTACAGAGAGTGCCTCTGTAGGGACGGTTTCCTGACCGCCCCTGCAGTGCCATCTGTAGGGGCGGCTGGTGTTTTCAGCCGCTCCTATAGTTCCCTCTGTAAGGGCGGCTGGTAATATCAGTCGCCCCTGTAGTGGACTTATGTAAGGGCGGCTGTATCACCAGCCGCCCCTGCTGTGTGTATTTGTAAGGGCGATTCAATCAAGAACCGCCCCTACAGTGGATTTCCCAGCAAAATAAATAAATAATTCAAATTCAAATCTGACCACACACACACATATATATATATATATATAATTCAAATTCGAATCTGACCGCCACAAATATACATATATACATCCACAAACACAAGACCATTATTTAGAACATCATCACAAATCATAATTCACAAAAGTCCATCATTACAACATAGTCCATTATGAAGTCCATCATTATAGCATAGTCCATTAAGATATCCACAAGTCCACATGCAAAACAAAGTCCAAACCGTTCCAAAGTCTGATCCAAATCATACCACAAGTCCATATTGTCATCAACGGCCTAGGGCTAACCTATCAGTCTCCCGAAGGTGTTGGTACAGAGGATTACTATCTAAGTCGGAAAGAAGAGGATGGTAAGTGCCTTTATGATACACAATCTGGTCCATTATGAAGTTGCAAAGGTCGCCGACCATCTCTAAGAGCTCGTCATCCTTGTATGGGTTCCTTCTCGTGTCTTTATCTTTCTCCAACTATAAGAGAACAAGTTTAGGTTTACTATATCACAACATATGCGAACTTTTCATACTACGAGCGAAGAGGTTCAAACTTACCAGATTGGGGTTTCTGTTGTAGCCACCGATGGTACTCATCATAATACATGTGTAGTATCCACAATGTAGACTCCCAGGCTTCTGCTTGGGGCACTGTGTGTTTTGCATATGGAGATGTTAAGTAATGCTATTGATAGACACGTAATATATGGAGTACCAAAGTAAATGACACTTACCGCACATAGAGTTTTGACATACAACTTTTCCTTCCTATTTGGATGATGCCTCCCCTTATGTTCCTGGACATAGTGCCTGAATGCCCTGTTCCAATGGTTTTAGCAAATGCAACTTGTTAGTATCCCACATTGAACCTTACAAGTATGTATACAAACATAGTAGCTAAAATGAGGATTGTCAATATGTATACGTCTTGATAATCGTTATGAAGTCTTTGTATGTCTCGACTGGGAAATCCGCTGAATCAAAGACCCATGCCATGCTATGTGAGAGCCAGACGCATATACAAATCCAGTGATCGCTGCATGAATTTAGTCATAGAAGGAACACATAAGCTCTTTTACATCGAACAAAGTATATTAAACAAAGCTAAGTATACAGTCGAACTTACTTGAAGTGGTATGGTATCCATATATTATCGTGTTGTTGGAGATTTTTAAAACATAGGGCAATGTATGCCGCAACCTTGAGGGACTCTTCCAATATTTTCTTGTTCCTGATGTCCTCTTTCTTCTTAAGTGTCTTTCCAGCTCCTAGTTCTTTGCAATCTAGTTTCCACTCTTTAGGGTAATTAAAATTTGTTGATGCTATAGGTGAAGGGTCTATATACCCGTGTTTCAGAGCTAGCCTCTTTTTCACAAAGTTCGCATGCATTCTACAAATCACGGCGCGGGTTACTTACAACAAAATTAAAAGATTACATTCATATCATATCGAGAGGGCAAGGACTTACAGGCACCATATGCGAATCAAATTCATTTCCATTCGTCCGAGGTGGAAGCATGCCTGGATATCCTTAAACTCAACGGCAATTTGCCCACCTGGGGCTCCAAATGTGCCGGCAGGGATCCATGCTTGTAAGATTTCTAGTTCTGTTATCTGAGCACGCAAGTACCAATCGTGGAACTTTCTCATTCCACTTGGCAAGCACTGTATGACTCGGTTTGGTAGGAAGTTCTTGCCTTTTTCATATTTATCTGGGCAATCATTTGACCATTTGAGGTTATCAACAGCTGGATACTTGTTAAACCCTTTGTGCAGTTTGCTAGTGGTGCCCTCCTCAGTGGTGCCCTCCTTAGAAGCCGGTGCTCTGAATTCTTTTACTTGGTTCTTAGGCTTGAACTGGTCATGGGCCATCCACTTGTGCACCGACGAGACGTCATTAATGCCCACATACGATGGCCTTATCTTGATTGGGATTTTGTTTCGAGCTTCCCATTCGGGCACATCCTTGTCAACTTGTGCATCACCTGCTCCTGGGGCCACTTGTTCTTCACGTATCGGCTGTTCACGAGGCAATTGTTGTTCATGAGACACTTGTTGTTCATGTATCGGCTACGTTTGTTGAGAAGGATGTTGCATCTCATCATGCCTTTGCTTGGTATGAGCTGGAGAAGGACGTGGCATGTCATCATGCCCATGCTCGATACGAGGTGGAGAAGGATGTGGCATGTCATCATGCCCTTGCTCGGTACGAGGTGGAGAAGTCTCTAGCGTGTGGTGGTCATGGTCATGGGCCGGTGAGTATACCTCCCCGTCCTCGACGGGTCGCTCTAGAGGATGA